GATAAGTGAGTAGCGGGTAGCGAGTTGTGTTTAGTGAGTAGTGAGCGGGGCAAGGGGGGGGGTCGGACCCCCCCCTCTGAAGGGGGGGAGGGGGGGGCCCGACGACGGACCAGGAAAGGGGGGGGGGGGGGTTCCCGACGACGGATCGGGGAAGGGGGGGAGGGGCGGGGTTCCCGACGACGGATCGGAGAAGGGGGGGGGGGGGGGGCACCCCCCCCGTTCCCCCGTTCGGGTCACCCAGTGGCGCGCCCTTTAAATTTATGTATCCGTTCGCCCATGGGCGGCGATTGGCGTCGGACACGCGCCTGCGCCAAAAAAGTGTCACAGGCGCGACGCGCGGGAAGTTGTCGCGCCTGTGCATTGTTGCGCGGGCGCGCGATTGGGCCGCCGCCGATTTGCGTCGGCAAAGCGCCCCAGACACAATGTCGTTAATAAGCTCGCGCAGACGCGCCGAGCTGGGTCGCGGATTTGCGCGAGTAAGCCGTCGCAGACACATTGACATTATGAATCGATATCAAGCGCGCCAAACTGGGGCGCGCATTTGCTTTAGCGCGCCGTCGCAGGCGCGAAAGGCCGGCGAGCCATTGCAGCCGCTGCTGGGGCGCCGACCAGCGCCAGTAAACCGCCGCAAACACACTGGCGTCAAAAAGCCGCTGCAGACGAAACATCATGGGACGTCGGATTGCGTTTGTCTACCATCGCTGGCGCGATGCAACTTGGGGCGCGTCTGCGCCAGTAAACGCGGTTTGGCGCGAGCGGCGCTCCGGGTTTGCGTCGGTAGGTCGTTGCAGACAGATTGGGGCGCCAATTCGAGTCGTTAAACAGGTTCACGGACGCCGCAAAGGCGCGCCGATTTGCGCAGGGAAACATTCGCAGGCGCGCAGCGTTGGGACACGCACGCGCGCTAATATACGTCGCAACCACAGCTAACCTCTGATGCTTCAACATGTTTCCCTTTCCGGACCTCCGCGCCATCCTGGTCGCAGACCGCCCGGGTGTATTCGACCTCCGTGGGCTGCGCGCCATGCGTTTCACTGCGAAGTTATTCCATCCGAGTTCGCGCCGCAACGAGGGGGGCATGGGGGGCGTGGCCATGGCAGGGCCTGGCGGGCACGCAACCCAGTAAACATCACCAGTGTGGCCACGTGAAACGTCGGAAGCATCCGTCTCAACCGAGTGCACGAAGCTGCGCCAGATCGATTCCATGATGAAAGAACGGAGGCCCGCAACAGTGGCTCTGCAAGAGACGCGTATATCTGCTGTGCCATTCTTCCCGCGTGCAGGGTGCTTGGCGGTGGTATCAGGTGCCCTGGAGCCGCGCGCGAGCACGCTGAAGTCGTCGAGGCACCGTGGGCGCGTCGCGCTGTCGCAGGCTTCGTTGAGTGCAGCAGCCGGCTGGCCAGTCCCAGAGTCATGTCTCCAGGAGGATCGATGTCATCCATATGTGCCTACGCCCCACAATCGGGACATCATTTCCAAGTGACGCGATTTCTTTCGCCATTCATCCGCGCCGGCAGAGAAGATGCAACCGCGTGGGGCCGCGATCGCCCTGGGAGACTTCAATGCATGATTTGGCCCCCCAGTCTCCTGCGATTCGGAGGTCGTCGTGCCGTTCGCCCGGGGCGACCGCCGAGCGCGTCCTGGACCGCTGAATAACTTGCGCATGTTGGTTGGGCACTGTTCTGCGCGTGGCCTCGCGATCGCGAACGCGACGTGGGCGGGCCGTTCGAGCAGCGCCTGGCGCATTTCGATATTGCAGCAACGGCCGCGTCAGAGCTGGCCACCAGAAGCTTCGCGGATATTGACCGCGTCCTGTTTCGCCGCGATCCAAGGGGATGGCCCCGAACAAAGCGTCTCTGCGATCCCCGAGCGCGGCGGCCCGTCTTGCCAGAGAGTTCGCGCCCCGCGCGGCGAGCCTTCGACCGGCGGGCGCGGGCGTCGGCCCCGGGAGAAAGCGGCGCGCATCGAGAAGTCCATGATCGAGGCCGCCGGCGAGAGCCTCGCGCAGGGCGGCGCGCAGGGCGGCGCGCCCCGGCCGCTCCTGATGCAGACGCGCGCGCTGGGCGCGATCGAGCTGCGCAACCGAGCCCGGGAGGCCGGGCAGGCCATGCCGGAGAGGCAGGTGGCGAAAGAAGCCAAAATCTCCAGCGAAGATGAACCAGAGAGAGCGGCTAGACTGCTCGCCGGAGGCGACTGGGAGGCTTGAAACCCTTCCGCAGCAGAGGCCGGAAGTGCCAGGCCGCCTTCGGGGCGAATGAAGCTACCGCGTCGACGGCGACGAGCGGGCGGGCGCCATGGCGACGGATTTGGAGACCGTGCAGTTGGCTGTTCCGCCCGGCAACCGCGCCCTACCGCGCGGATGCCAGCTGAACGAGACAATGCCTTTGAGCCTCGAAGAGTTCGCCGCGGCGGAGCTGGCGGCGGTCTCGTCATAACTAAGGGGGGTGAGGCAGCGGGCCCCGGCGGCGTCCAGCCAGAATTTTGGAGGTCCCTGCGCCGCTGCGACCCAGCTTGACAATCCCTCCCCAATCTCTGCGACGCAACGTTGGAAGCGTTGCTCAGTGGCTGTGCTCATCAAAAATAGGGGGCGAGTCCTTGCCGTGAAATTATGAGCCGATGTCCCTTCTGTCCGTCGGCTAGAAAGTTCTCGCAAGTTTGTTGTTGAACCGCACGGCGACAGGAGGTGCGGAGGAGAAGCCAGGAGACTCGCGGCGCGGCTTGCAGGGGCGGAGACGTTCCGCGGGCGCGATTTGTTCTTCAGAGGAGTACCGAGAGGGCGTGGGCCACAAAGGATGGCAAATTGTCGGCTGTTCTCTCAGATTGGTCGAAGGCCTTTGACAGAGTGGGCGCGGCGGCGCTCGAGGTCGCCCTGGCTCGCTTCGGCGTCCCGCAGGCCTGCGCGGACATGGTCGCGAGCATCTGCGCGAACCGCGCGATCGAAATGGCAGACGGTCGCGGGTCTTCTGGAGCTTGTCCAATCGGCGCAGGCATTGCACAAGGGTGCCCGCTCAGCCCATACTTGATTATTGTCGTGATTTCCGTGCTCATGGCGGACGTCGATACTGACGTAGCGAGTCTGCTCGGCCCAGTACCGCGAGGCGGCGTCGCGATGTGACTTTCGCAGACGACGCGGGTACAGTGTCCGATGCTGTACCGAGGGCGCAACTTCTCTTGACTTGTCTCGTGTCGAGAGCTCGCAGACACGGGTCTCGAGCCGACTTGGGGGAAGACTGTGCGTTTGCAACTCATACATGACATCGACATCTGGACAGCACAGGGGTGCCAGTGGAGCTAGTCGCATCTGCCGTATGTTTGGGTGGACTGGTGCGCGCCGATTGAGGCACAGGCGCAACCATTGCAACGCGAATTGGGGGAGCAAGGTCGGCCTTCCACGAGCTCAAACTCGCGTGGCGGCATGCGAACATCTCACGAGCTCGCAAAACGACGTTGTTTCGTGCATGTATCGTCAGCAAGCTCTCTGACAGCATCGAGACCATTTGCGTGAGACAAGCAGACCAGGACAACTTCGACTCGTTTCAAGCACAGTGCTCTTGGCAAATACTGGGTATTCCGCGCTCGATGGTCTCGCGGGTGTCGAACGCAGAAGTGCGGCGCCGAGCGCGCGAACCCGAACTGAGCCATTCTATATTGCAGCCGTTTTTTTCTGTTTGGCAAAACCGCGGCTATGCTAGAGTTTCACCCCCGCCGCGCAGCATTTACAAGTTGGCATAGTCGAGCCAGCGGGCTTACGTGAAGAGGTCGGCCTCGATTGACTTGGGGCTCGGTGATCAGAACGCAGGCTCTCTTGGCGAGTAGGGGCGCCCTCCGTCCGCCCCCTCCCCCTGCCCCGCCCCCCCCCCCCCCCCGCCCGTCTCCTCCCTGCCCCTGTCCCTGCCGCGCCGGTGAGCGAGCTGGCGAGGTGCTGGTCGCCAGACATATAACCCGCGTTATTGGAGGTCAGCGTCCTGGCGCTAAGCTTTGGCACAGAAGCCAAGACCAGCAGTGCCTCAGCCGCCACCCCTCTCTTCCTCGTCCTCCTACCCCCTTCCCCCCCCCTGTCAGGATTTGCCCAATGTCGCAAATTGTGAACGCTGCAACCGGCGCTTGTGGAAGGCAATCGCCAGCCGGGACGCGATTTTTCCAGAGCTGTCCTTATTTGTATTGACCTGGTCTGGGCATACGCTTCCAACCGACGGCGTTTTTGCAACCGATATGTCGTGCGAGACACGGCGATGTTGATCTCTGAAACCGCTGCCAACCAGGACGCCGATGTGCGGAGGACATGGTGCCGAGCAGAAGACCAGCGGGATATTAATAAACCCTTTCGTAGGCGATTCTTCGGTTGAGCAAAATACATAATTTTGCTTGTTTTTGCCAGATCGGTCTATCCTCGGCCAAACTGTTGTTTGCGTTAGCTGCCGCCGGCCCCTCCCTCCGAGCGGTGTGCTATCGGCACCGATGATTGCTCGAGGAGCTGTTCCGGCTGCACGAATGCGAGCTGCCACCGCAGCCGTCGATCCACTAGCACTCGAACCAGCCCCGAATCCCAGCCTGATCCAATAGACCTCCATCCCTCTCATCCTTCCGTCCCCACCCTCCGTTCTTCCTCTCGCAGGCCTATAGGTTGAACCCACCAATATCGGCAGTGTGCTTCCACCGAGGGAAGAAGATCCCGATCTCGGCGATGGTAATACTCTTCCAAGGTGGCCGAAATATGACCACCAGCACCGAAATCCAGAATCATCTCCCCCTGTGCAGGTACCCCCTGTGTAGGTGTTAGTGCCTGTTTCCATCAGGAGGGGAAAAAACACACACACGAACACAAGGAGTCGTCGATTCCCAGGCAGATGCGCGAAGACATGGGAAGTGGGGGGGGGGGGGGAATACGAGAAACACCAGAAACAGGAGAAGATGTGGGGAATCCTGCTGTACGTGTATATCTATTCTGTGTGCCCCTGGGCCCCTTTCTATCCCAGGCCCTCCACGCTCCCCCTTCCGAGGCTGGCGCCGGAGAAGCCCGGGCCCCCGCGCGCTCCCGCGCGTCGCGCCAGGCCGGGCCCCCGCCGCCTCTCTCGCTGGCGGGGCGGCGCGGCAGGGGGAGGGCCGGGGAGGACGCGAGGCAGCATGGCCTCTGGAGTGCCTTGGCCCTGTCAGTGGGGCCCAGTTTCCCCAGACATGGTCGCGCCGTTGAAAAATCAGGACGCGAGGTTTCTGGGCATTTTCGGCCTCGGGGGGCCCTCGCCGGGCCGCGGGACCGTCAAAAAACGATTCCGGATGAAAAACCGGTCCCGGGGAACGGGTCGGGACTTCCAGGGACCCCGTCCTGAAAAAATCGGGTCGTCGCACGTCCGGGTCCTAGAGTCACCACCCTGTGGGGCACGGTGGCCGGATGTGGCACATGGCCTGGGGCCATCTGGGTGCAGACCGCAGTGGCTGGGCCAATGAAAAACAGGAGAGCCTGGGCACGCTGGCCTGGGGACTGCGGCTCCAGAGCGGACACTGTTCTTGGCACCTTCTACGTCCGCGGGGAACTTCGGAGGTTGGCAGACCTCCTACCCTGACACGTCGATTGGCGAGTTGGCCGTTTTCGGTTCGCGAGAGGGCGTCGCGGCCGTCATTTTTGCGGGTCCAGGTCCGTCGGTTTCGGGTCTAGGCCATTTTCACTGAAGGGTGGTTTACCAAAGGGAGGTTTGCCCACCGCCGAGAACGACACTTGTTGACACAATTTGGGATTATCAGTGTATGAACTGCCTCATCGGTGTGGGTGGTGATGTTTGTCTGCAGCTTCGCAGCCCATGGCGGCATTTCGCTGCCAGTACCAGCGCCGTTGAACAGGTTTCTACGGTGCGGAGGCGACGGGGCGCAAAGAAATCGAAATAGGACAGCTGTGTAAGGAGATGTCTGACAGTGAGCTACGGCACAGTCACCTCTGGCAGGAGACGAAGGAGACCTTAAAGTGGAGCGCCTAAGGGAGGGAGCAGAGGGATGGGTGTGGAAAAGAGAAGGATTGGAGAGAGAATCAACCAAAAGAGGGACGGAGGAGGGAACCGGAAAGGCCTAAGTATTGTAATGGCCTCCGGCCAGTGCCGCCGATCCGGGGGGCTCCAGATTCGGTGATCTTCACAACTCTGCGGTCTCCTCCCTCCTCGATTATTCCGGCCCTCTTTCTTCTCCTCTGCGCGGGTGCCTGGAGCGGTCCCGAGAGGGGGGTCCGGGGAGGGTTCCAAGGGGAGGGTCCTGGGGGCGGTAGCGGCTAGATCTGAAAGGGGGTCCTTTGGACCCCCCAAAATATCCTAGGGATGCGCACGCAAATCATTAAGAAAATGCCAGATGGGGGACCGCCCCCCCCCCCTCCCTCCCTTCCCCAGGAGGAGTCCGGACGCGCAAATCATAAAGAAAACGCCCGATGGAGGACCCCCTCCCCCCCTTCCACGGCACAGCCACCCCGGCGACCCCCCCCAAGCAGAGCTGAAGCTCTTGCTTAGGCACAGAGCTGAAGCTCTTGCTGAAGCTCCTTGTAGCTCACGCGCCAGATCGGCGGATCTCACTTCATGGGATCACGTTGTTGGTGAGGGGGTATAACGGTCGTCGCCCCCTTATTCTAAAGCGAGCTGAGGGACATAAGGAGCGGAAGCGAACGTGTGCCCTCGGCCGCGTCGGCTCAAGCGGCCGGCCGCCCAGGTATGACTACGTGTCATTGCGAGACACACGATTGCGGTCAAGACCAAAAGGGTACTCTTATTGCTTAAGATGGCACATCCTCTCCTACTGGGACTATCGGCACTACGGTACAACAGAGCAGGAGCTTGGCTTCGCCTGAGGCGAAGCTGCTGGTTGGGCCTCCCAACCCCTTTCAAACTTGGTAGCGGAGCTGGCCTATGGTGGTCAGCTCTAGCTCTACTCCTCACCATCCACGGCACTATCTGGTGGACTACGGACATGGTGGAACATCTGGGTGCCGTGGGTTTGCGTGGAGGAATGTATATAACTACGCACTATCGCAAGGACACTTGCAGCGTCACCTCTGCTTAAGCGGAGGTCTCTTACTTACGTCCTAGATCCCTGCGCTACTACGATGCAGTGCCACCTCCATCCCCACGCAGACTTACGACTACACAACGGAAGCCCCGACCGACCACATCCGACCACGACCTACGGGGCAATTGGATTGGTAATGCTATCTTTGGGCGCATATGGGTCGCTATCGGGTGTGCGGTAGGACATATGCGTGGCGGAGACGACGCAAGAACGACCGGCCTTCACTGGGGCCCAGCAGGTCAAGTACTTTTTCGCGAATTCGTCCGCGACGTACATGCCTGGATCAACCTGGCGCCCTCCCAGCAAACTGCAGCCTTGCAGCGAGGTTTGGGAGGTCTCGCGCGGACCATTGCCATGGGCCCCCCCCCAGCAGTTATCAACTTTGGCGTTCACGTAGGTGGTCGCCGTGCCAACGGCTCCACCTACATCGCGTTCCTCTAAAGCACGAAGTTCGAGAACTTAGAAGAGGAAAGCCAGCTCCACTCTGGTACAGCTCTCATCGACTTCCGAGCCCATGCGGGAGAACGCATCGACCAGACGTTAGCGCGCTTCGAGATAGCCAGCTACGAAGCTGAAGCGGGAGGCTTCAACGTCCCCAGCTTCCAAATCTTATAACAGTGGTTTTATTTAGAGTTCTTGGAGTGGGGGCGTCGCGCGCTCGACAACTCTTGCAGCTTCGAAACCACCGCGCGCCGAGGGACCAGCAACAATTTGACGCCCCACTCGAACGTGCGAGGTCATGTGCTCACTTTGCTGAGAGACCCCCCGGTAATTTTGGTGGTATTTTCAGCCGCGGCCACCGAGGCGAGACCTTTCACGCGGGGGCGAACGCAGGGCAACCTGCCGACAACGTTCGGAATGATGATCCACAACCAACTGAGACCACTACACTGCTGGGTTAGAATGGTGGATCGGCCTCGGGGTCGCAAGACTCCCGGGCCAGGCTTCGGGGGCCGCCCGACGCGGCGTTCCCCGCGCAAGCCATGGCCCTAATGGGCTCAGCGGGGCGACCTGCCGTGTCCGACCTCGACTCCGGTACTGGCGCCGATGCGTCTTCGGACGATGAAACCACAGCCCTTGACTACTCGAATATGCCTACATAGCTCGAGGAAGAGCAACATGCGCAATGGTTATTTTTTGGACACCAACAACATCGCAGATGGAGGCGATTCATGGAGAAATCAGTCCGCAAGGTACGGCGTATCGCACGACGAGCTATCAAGGGAAAAGGCAAGGGTCGAAGTAAGGGTAAAGGTAAGCGCCGGAGATTGCATGGTAGAGGTAGATTAGCATTCCTAGCGCCCCTCACCGGGCCACAGTGCGCAGACATGTTCTGAGGTGCAGGCAGAATCCGCAGGCATGCATCAGGCAAAGGTGAGGGACGTCGGGGGAAACCGAAGGATGCCAATGGCAAGACTATGGAGTGCGACGTATGCCACAGCACACAGCACTTTCGCCGCGAATGCCCTCGAGGCGATGGGAGAGGCAGGGGTCCGTCACTACATCTGGCTCAAACCGTCTGGCATGGAGTATGTTGACTGGGGGTCTTTTTTTAGCTGACCCTGCCGATAGCTCGGCTGCAGTTGTCAACTTCATGGCTGCCACATACCTTAGCACCTTTCTGACCCTCGAGAATTATGCTGGCGAGCTGCTCGAGGAGGTGTTCACTGGCCACAGCGATGTCGATCTAGCAGATTGGCTGGGCTTACCCATCGCGATGCAGATATTGAGTTTGTCGAGAACTTCCACGCGCCCGCCGAAAGAGATGCAGACGCGGAGGGGGCGCCCGCGGATTCAGAAGGCATCGCTTCTGCATCAGACGAGATAATACAGTTGATGCTTCATCCTCGGGCCATTGGAAATCCGACAAACATGGAATTGGTTGACGATGACCCTCTGCGGGGAAGCCCGCGAGAAGTTAGTGATCTGTCTGGGCGCATTCAATGTGCCAACAGACCTGACGCTCTCCCGAGCAGGGGTCGTCTGCGGGGGCACCCTCCTCAAGAGGAGCAACCGCAAGAAGAATATCCAGAAGGCGGAACGCAGCGCCTTGTAGGCTACTACACGGAAGCTGGATTGGCTCGTCAGCACATGCCCCAAGATAAGAGGCAATACTGGTTGAACCTGGGTTCGATTGAGCATCGCATCCGCCATTGGTACTTTCCTCGCAATGTTGAACGACTTGAAGAAGGCAAGGTCGTGCGCCCCCAAAAGGGCAGGACCTGTTAACGCACGGGAAAAGAGTGTCAAGCGCGACCTCAAGAGTGCCGTTCTCGATGAACGGAAGCGTTCCAGAGGCGTTTGTTGCACGTGCCCCGAATGCGCGGACCACAGGCCTGGCTGCCCTATGAGACGCCCATTACGAGGCCCGACCTTTAAGAGGACACCGTGTGTTTGGTCTCATTGTGATGGTCGGGGTTACTGCGCCGATCCCAACAAAACGCCGCATGAGAGGCAGTTGACGGAAGACGACTACGAGCAAGCACCAGTCCGTGACATATCCCAATCTTTGCTGATATGGCAACACTTTTCACTTCTTCATTATTTGAAGCAGTTCAATCGCGACTGGCGCGCGGGCCGCGCGGGGGAACCTGCCCCACTCAAATCGGTAGAAGATGATCAACAAAAAGGCGATGAAGATGAAGATGAGGAGATGGCCGAAGCGGTGGGCCCCGCGGAAGAAGCTCTCGAAGGGCGCGCCTCGGACGACGCCACTATCACGGACGTCGCGTGCGAAACGGACGCCCGTGTTGATTCTGAGTGCGCCGTCGCAGCAGACGTGGATCTTTCTCCTGGAAGACGGATTGCCTACCGCGCTGGAGGTGCAGGCTGGATAAAGACCAGCATCGAACAAAGGCTTAGTTGCGCCAAGTACCTCTTGGCCGGGAAGCAAAGGGCCACTACCCGCAATCCGGCCCTCAGAACGCCGAGCGGCGCCGACCTGGGCCCTGGCCGGGGCCCCGTGAGATATGGGCCATGGGTGCCGGCAGGGGCAGCGGCTGAGGCAGCTCCC